TTTTGACAGTAATACTGACATGTGTGGTTCTATATTTTAATTTTTTTTCTTGTTTTCAATTTGGAGCTTGTTTGGTAACACTAAAAATCCAATTAAAATTGAAAATATAGTCGTTATTGGGTCCCACCCATCTAATAAAAGTCAACAGTAACGGATGATTTTTCAATTTTAATTCGATTTTAATCTCTACTAAACACACTCTTGGTATGAAAGTATAAAAGTGGTTAAATTTTCCAATTTTACATATATATCCCCTTCTTGTATTGGATTTTGAGTTTTGTTTGACATGATTATTTGGTGTAATATATTGTTTGTTATTGATAAAGTAAGCAAAATATTACAAAGTGAGGGCATGCCTATTGATGCCGATGTTATTTACTTGAAAGCACTTATTTCATTTTTTAAATATATAGAGAAATTAGATTTGAATTGACGGTTACTGCTAAAAAAATTGCTGCTCAATTTTGAACCTACGTTTCATGAAAAATATATTAATCATAGAAAGAGTTTCGATGAAAATGTCAATGATATGAGATAACACATTTAGCTGAAGAGTTGATTATTTCTTGTATACAGTTGTTCGTGCGCTTTGTTCACTTACTTTTTGAATAGTTCGAACATATAAAAATATTTTTGGATATTTGTTTGATTTAAAAATTGCAGATTATGGATAATAATCATTTGAAGTGTTGGTATGATAAACTTGAAAAAAGAATGAAACACGAGGAGGACTTATTTTTGAAGTTGCAAACTATTAAAAATTATTTGTTAGTAAGAGGTCAAAAACATGTTTAAAAGGGTTACACTATATAAAAATGATGAGACTCTTGTTTTCCAAATGAGTGGTAGATTGCTATTAGAATATTATTGATTATATCGGTTATAGTTACATCTGTTGAAATGAGCTTCTCAAAGTCGAAATATAAAATTCTACATTCAGTCAAAAATGTTCAAGAAAATGTTGAATTGATTGGTCACAACGTCCATTGTGAAGAAGTTCTAAAACTAATTTGGAAGTTTTAGATTATTATTTTGTAATTTTGAATATTTTTATTTAATAAAAATTATTATTTTATATATTTTTTTAATATTTAGACGGGTGCCGTATTCAAAGTTAACCTAAGGCTACAAAAATCTCAGGACCGACCCTGGACGAGGCCTAGACAAAATAATGATCAGACACATATTCCTATTATTTTTCATTAATTCAACCCTTTAAATTATCTGTTAATTTTACTTTGTTGTGAACTCTTGATTAGAATGTTTTAAACTAACGATGGACGTCATTTATGTAGAGTCAGTCAATCTATCTCCTGTTTGGTGAAGGTTAAAATTAGATTATTTTGATTAAAAGTTAATGAAATATGTGATTTAAAAATTGTGAATTACATTAAATATGTAGTTAAAATTAATTGTTAACTGTAATTTTAATTAAAATCTAAATTTTAATTTTTTATCAAACAGGGCATAATTGATTAAAGATATCGCGTTTTCTTGTGATTGCAACAATTACTCCTACGTCAAGTGGAATAAACAGATGAAATCAGTAGTATCCAAAACACATCAGAAAATACATGTGGGGGTATTTGAAGAGCACAGTATGAAAAGGAAGTTTCGTAAAAAGTAAGAAACACGGTGCGGTGAATCTGAAAAAAATGTATAGGTTTAGTCCCCAGAAATGTGCATTAATTGATGTCTGCAGTTTTCATATTTTAAATGAGATTCACGACTAAGTAGATTCTTTGCACCGACCTTGGATTCTGGATTCGAATTGTTTGGACTTGACGCCAGGATGTACTTTTTTTTGAAATGCAATTCATTAAGTATCGAAATAGCAAGTTGCGAATACATGGAGGAGTTACTTCCAACACAATACTCTCCTCAGATAGCTTAAGTGCTTCCTATGCTAAAGCATAAGCCATCCAAGATGCGAGGATGTACTTATAATTCTTTTTAAGTAAGTGTCATTCTTTTGGTTTGGTGGACTATTCGGCTATATAAATTTCGTTTAACTCGATATGATAATAACAACAATAGTTGTTCTCTTCCCAATTTCATCTACACAATGGCAAGAGATCCCGTAGTGCATAGAATCCACACTTTAGGCTGATGACCAACTTGTGAAGGGTTGAGATCTAGTCCCGAGTCCCGCAGTTTTGGAATGGACAAGTATCCTTAAGGTTTCTTGATGTTGAGGCAAGAATCTAGGAAGTGGAGTAGTGACGTAAATAAACTTATCTGCAGTCATCAAAAAGTGTCAATCGTATCTCGAAGTGATGTTTTGATATACTGGGAGAGTTATCCCCCTCGACCCTAGAGAATCAATTGGTGACATACATGCTAATGTTTGGATAGTCGGGGGTTGTTAGCAAATAGATTGACAAGGTTAATCACGCATATCGATACCATTTTGGAGGTTATAAATTTTTTTTTAGAGGCTGTTGTGGAAATTTGGAATGCTCAAATACTAGTTTGTTGTGAAAATATAAGATATCAAGCAATAATATGAATGATCAAAAGAATACAAGAACAATATAATTGTGCAGAGAACGAAAATTTTATTATAATAGGGGGAGAGAATACAAAAATTATACGTTTTACAAAGTTTCTAACTTCCTCTAAAATACAATGAATAGCCAACTATATATATAGAACAAATAGTGGACGTTCAACCCTCACAATAGAGTTATGGATGAAATAGAATGTCGAAAACGAAGTCTAAAACGAAAAATGAGACCAAATAGCGCGGGCAAACAGAACAGGCGGCGCTTCGACGCCATCCGTGGGCATCGCAAGATCGGGCAATTTTCTTCCGACGCCCACTTTCAGGTCTTTTACTCCAAAAACTTGATTTTCTTCATTCCAAAGTTTTCTTCAAGTCCAACACAAATTCATACTTCCAATGGGCTTCCAAGTAGAACTTCAATTATAATTTGCCAAAAAAAAAAAAAAAAAACTTGAATTAGATTTCACAGTTGCATTCCAAATATGATTCTAATTAATGTACACTTTAATTAAAACTCTCAGTTATCTTCAACAAAAAATTTGGGTCACACCTAAATTCTAATAATGTTCACCTTGATACGAATTTCACTGCAATGAACAAAATTTCAATAATTCTCCACCTGGAAACAAATTTCACTGCAAAGAATAAACTTGACTCTTCAATGAAAAACACAAAAGAATTTATCCACCAACAATTCCAATTGGAAATATTCTCCACCTCTGCTACCCCCAACTAGGGCAAAAATGACCTAATAAGCACAAATAAGGCTGAAATAAACTCTGTAACAAAATCACAACTGAATGCGTCAAAAGAATGATTTTGGCTAGAATCAACACCCTTAATCGGATTCAAATCATCAACAAAATCAGCATAATTGTACTTATGTGGAATCTTCTGGAAAAAAAAAAGGTTTATTTCTAGTAAGTGAATACGATAACATCGTCGATAATGATGGCAAGACGGGTTCCTTTGATAACTTTCAGAACTCCACCGTTAACAGTATACTTGAATCAAGAGTAGCATATAAACGACTAAAGCCCAAAAATTTGAAGAAATCTTTGAATATAATCGAGTTTAGTACACGGGAGCCCTGACCCACGCCTGCGCCTACCCACGTGCTCACCGTTGAATATTACTTGCTTGGAGTGAAACAAGGTCAAATATATGAAGGAAAAGTCAATTGGTGAGTCATTCGGTCATCGTTTTGCTTCTTAACACGGCTGTAGTAGGTTAGGTAAAATACTTTTAAAAATATGAAACATTCTTTTCTTTTTTTTTTTTTAGATTAATTTATCTTAAAAATTATGTTAAAAACAACTATGTTTGACTTCAACATTAAAAAAATAAAAAAAAATCTACAAATTTACTTGGAGGTCAAGCACAAATCTTGTTGCGTTATCTTTATCATTATTATTAATACAGGTGTCTTTTAAATTATTTTATCGATTGTTAAGGTCAATTATATGATGAATATTTTACCTACCTAATTAATTAATTAATTAATACAAGATCTTGGTCGAGTTAGATCCTAAAATTGGTCAATCTTAAACACGTGTGTGGAAAAAAATTATAATATTTGACTTTTTTTTTTCATAATTCTATTCCAAAATAGACTAATTCATCCTCTATTAAATTTTTTTTTTTATTCAATTAAATACATGATTTGTTTACTCCACTTATAGGATATTAAGTCAATAGGTTCGATGAAGAAATATTTGAATACAAAAATAACATTTCTACAAAATTAAAGAGATTTGACAATTCGATCGAAGAGTCAAAACTTTCGACTTCAGCACAATCTTTTTCGTTTCTTATGTTCCCTTTTAATTTTGTTCAAATTTTCTCGCGTTATATTTTGTTGACTTTGTCTTTTCTACTTGGCATTCGAAGTTTATTTCAAAGAGTTAAAACCCAATTGCAGCAGTCATTGTACGGAGTTTGAGTTTTAATTGGATCGAAGAGATTGGATATATTTCGACGCTTCTTGTGCTTTCTTGTTCCATTTTTTTTTTTAACTAAATTTGATATAAGAGCACGTAATCGCGTCTATCATTATGCCGTCGAGGAGACAGACTGTTGCTCGTGAGGTTTCGATGGACGTATCATTGCTATAAGAATACTCCTTTTTTGTTCCGTAATTTAACGCAAAGTGTCAGGGAGGCCATATTGAGGATAATATTTTAACCAGAATTGGTTTGGTTTTCATTTTTGGGCTGACTTGTGTAAATAGCCCATAAAACAAAGGGCCACTAACCCAGCAAGGACTGAGACTCAAGTCGTGCTGGGCTCGACTTTTCAGAATGCATGTTGGGGTACTTTTCAAATATCGAGGTGTGAATATCATTCGGAAAAATTTGAAGAGGAATTTACCCCATT